CTCACTATTTTTTTTGGGGGGGGGGAAAATTTTTATTTGCTATTTCTAAAAACAACCAAAAAAAAAAAAAACCCAGCATTTTCAATCTCCATTATGTCCAGCAACTTATCCGTGCTGCATCAATCCAATTGAAAAACAACAACGGGCATGGCTGTGGTTGATAGGAATTGTAGTCCTCAAGACCTCTATCACCGAAGACCACGTCCAATTTCTTAAGTGTGCTTTCCAACACATTGAAAAACGGGGAAACACACACACACACACACACACACACACACACAGCCAAAACCCCAAACCATCACACACAAAAAAGGAGATTTTCTTCTTTTCAGATGTACAAAACAACCTGGCTAAGAATCAAACTGAACTTAGGAAAAGAAGTTTGTAAGAAAACACAAGTGTCCTCGCAAGACCAGAGAAAAATAATGGCACCGAGGCTATTCATTTCCCGTGTAGTGATTTTTTTTTAAAGAAAGAATCTCTACAACAAAAGGATGAGCCAAACCTCCTTCCAGGCAGAAGGAGACAATTCCAGCTTTAAAAAAAAATGTAATTTTGGAAGAAAAAAAAAAGGATTTTCAGAAAGGGGAAAGCAAAAAATACAAAACAGCTCCTCTGCTTTCAATTTGAGAAACATCTTCCACGAAAGGTTTTATTCCTTCCAAGCAACTCCAAAAGTTTATTTTTCCTCCTGGATTTTCCCCTCCAAACTTTCTGCTTTCCCCTCCAATTTCCACCAGCATTTTTTTCCCCTCTCGATTTGTTTCCCTCCCTCGGTAGGATCCCATCAACCCCAGCCAGGTAGCTGGCTGGGGATGATGGGGACAAAAAAAACAAAAAACACCGATTCTCCAGTTGGGACAAATAACCCATCAAAACCCGTTGAAATAAGACGCAACAACGTGGCCATTTCTCCCCCTGTGAAACACATCCTGCAAGAGTTTTATTATCCCAACTCCCTACAAACAAACAAATAGACATATTTTTTTAAAAAATGACTTTGCAAAGCGAATTATTTCCCTAGGGTCTACCCAAAACAAAACCTCTTCATCTTTTGTTTTATTCTCCTTACCTCCCAAAAGCTGTAAAAGAAATCCCGCTTTCCAGCCAGCAAATATTTCCTTCTTGCAGAAGACGTCTAGATGCCCTCACAGACTGAGCTGGTTGTGATGCAGCAAGCCACAAGCCCCCCCCCGAGCTCTCTTCATCCTATATATATATCCCTTCTTTGTTCTGACCCCACCCCCTCCTCCCCAGAAAATTCCTTTTCTTCTAAGGGTATCTGGGAGGGAACCATTGCTTACGTGACCCCTAACAGATAAGCCCTTTAGGCACCCCCTGGGCAGTTTAAAAAAAAAACAACCAACTTCCTCTCCTGGCTGGCTGGCATGACCTCCCTAACCTTTAGTAAAATCACTGCAGCAAGTAGACAGAACGCAACCCCACCCCCCAACTTTCTTCTGGGGGGAAGGAAAGACATTCTTGATTCTCCTTGGGGTGCAGAATGCTTTCCCCTCCTTTGTTGCTGCTGCTACTTCTACTCTGGAGTTGTAGATTTAAGCCTTTTCCCAAGCCACCAGAAGAGAGGGGGAGAAAAGTTATCTCTGTTTGCAAAGGAATTGGATGCTTCCTAAGAGTCTATAAAACCAAACTTGCTTATTGTTTGGAAAAGGTGTAATAGGGCAAACTTCCACATGGCCCCATGCAGGAAAAATAAAATAGGTGCTACAGAAGAATTAAATATGTGTGTGTTTGTGTGAAAAAAAAGGGGGGATTTTGCCCATTTTTTTTTGCGGGAGAAAATAGGTTCCACAGAACAGTGAATATATATCCAATCCTTATCAAAGTTTAGCATGCAAAAAAGGCAATGCTTTTTGCCCATTTATTTTCTGCAAATCAGGCGACATATACATTTAATTAATTGTTATTATTAAAGGATGCTTACACTTTTTTTTAGTCATATCAATACAGGTGAAATATCTGG